GGGACCCGAGGCTGGGGATTGACGTGCAGTGGCTAAAAATTAGGGTACAAGCTGCTGTTGGGTTTCCTGTTCGCCCTCATAGTTCTCCTTCAGCTTGTGCAGGTACAGCCCAGGCAGAGCCACGCAGAAAGCTTTGGGGTTCCCTGGTGGGGAAGGGTGGGAGTGGGGCTGGATAACACGGCTGGGGACAGAGCTGGCCAAACTGCAGCGTAAAGGGTCGTTTTTAGGCTCAGCTCTTCTCTCTGTCCCTGCTGGGGTCCTGATGGATGTTGGGGATGAAGATCTGGCACGATTGTCGGAGAACAGGAGCTCCCCGGGGGAACCTGGGAGCTCCCGGCATCGCTGGGAGATGCTGGGAGCAAGTTCAGGAGGGCGGGATGGCTCCATCTGCCCAGCGCCCGGCTGGAAGCGCAGCGTACGCGTTCGTGCTGCCTTACAACCCAGACTGAGACCAAAGGGGAAGAGCAGGACCCAGAAAACAAGGATTTGGGGGGCTGGGAAGCAGGACAGGGCCCAGTGTCGCACACGGGCAGTCAATCCATGCCCGCAGCCTCTCACCCTCTCATTTCCCTATTGGAAGACGCTGGTAGTTGTTACGTGGATGCTGGTGCAGGGATTTCTGTGGAAGAATCCATTTTAAGCACCGTTCAGTGAGCGATCCCTCAGCTCTGAGCACAGGCAGGCAAGTGTTGGCTAATTAGAGACGGTAAATGAGTAGCCTGCGAAACTCCCGCGTCTGTCATTTTTATCTTCGTTGAGGCTGCTGCGACACTTCACCGGTTAATTATCACACTCCCTGGCCAGCAGCCTGGTGAGAGATTATCTGCGTGAAGTCCAGCAGTCCCAAAGTTTATTATTTCTTCTTAACGAAGATAAGAGCGCGTGTTTTCAAAAGCAATTAGGAGTTTTGCGTTGTTGTCGCTGTAGTATCCTCTCAAGCAGCCTGGCTTTTCTTTCTCTTGGGAGAGGAGAGCTGAAGCGCTGCTTAAAAACCCTGCGGAGGGAGGGGTCCCAAGTCACGGGGGGTGTCTGAGCCCCCGGTGCTCTGCCCAGAAATATTTTTGCAGGTAAAAGTGCTGTTTTTGCAGGGAAAGGTGCCGTCGGCCCCTGCTCCGGCCGGCAGTGCCGCAGGGGGGCAGCAATTCCTTCTGCAACGAAAAAAAAAAATGCTGGATTTTGCAAACTGCATCATAACCCGCCTTCCTAAAAATAGCCCGGCTTCCCCAGCACCGCTGGGAGGTGTCGCAGCCCATTTGCGACGCCTGGCTTCGTCAGGCACGGCAAAACCTCGACGAACAAACGCTGCGGCTGCTCAGAGCTCCAGCAGAGCCAAAAAAAATCCCTGAGCCCGAGGACTTGGGAGTTTTGTTAAGATGTCGGCAAGGCCAGCCGGCTTCTGGCTCTGGAGGAGTCCCAGAGGCCGTGGGATCACCGTGCCGTGCTGCTCCGCGTCTCTTGCTCGTGGCCTGCGTGGAAGTGGGATGGCTTCTCCCTCTACCGCCTTCTCCCTCAAAGTAGCCCCAGGGGAGGTTTGTGGGTACAGCTGACCCCCGAAAGGGGGTGAAACATGAGTGTGCGTCAAGTGATGGGAGCCTTGATTCTCGGCTGTGCTGAGCCTGAGGCTGTTACCCCTTCAGAAGTAGAAAATAAACCGGGGTGGGGTGGCTGGTTGCCTGCGTCTCAGCCGCTCCTGTCGTGCCGTGATGGGAGCCATCGGGAGGCCGGGGCCCCCCCTCCTTCCCGGCGACCGCCGG